AATAATTAGATAACGAGCTGGACATGCGGATAACAACGCAAGAGAAGACAATTCCTGCGAGAAGACGGATAGGATTAGATAGCTACAACGAATGGAGTCCGTTTCCTCCAGATAAATAGGTGAACAGATAGGTCATAGTAAACGATAAATTGACGAGTCGTACAAATATAGATAATAGATGATAATAACTTCACCAGATAATGGGACGAAAATTAGATTAGTATTGTCATTGATAATAACGTACATACACAGTATTATGGTGCTTTACTATATCTAATAATAATTACTTAGTAATTAATATAATATACATTATTATTTCATTACATTATATTAATGACACATATATTATTAATACAAATTACCACGTACCTATTATTAAATAGTACATAATCGATTATGGTAATATTGTACGATATGAATTGTAAACCTCGTCTTGGAGGCTTGTAAAGTTGATATGACGTCAATTTTTGTTTAAATTCTACTACGAAATGAGTAAAACATTTTTAAGCCAAACACGAGATGGGTTGAAAAGTTTTTAACCTAATACGAAAGGGACATCCCTTTCAACTCCTTTTCATATGTTAGGCTCAAAACTTTTCAACCTTTCAATATAATTTCTTTTTCTTAAATTATCAATTCATTAATAAAAGCGAACTGGTATACATATAAGAATACATGTGAAACTTTTTCCTTCGTTTTCTTTTAAACTATTAAATATGAGGTCTTATTGCTTGAATAATGTATGATCCGATGGACCCTTAAAACTGTGTAGAATTTTAAAAAAATCTGTTTCAATTGGTTCATCTAGTCAATTTGGTTCTCCCCTTATAAGAGAAAATACGATAACGATAGTCGATTAGAAAGTGCATCTTTAAACAGGCACCATTGCTAATTGCCATCCATATAATTACCATATCGAGGAGATAAATATAAGGCTTTTAGCATCTCTCTACCCATGGGGACGAGCGCGTATCGTCGAAATTACGTCTAGAACACTTTAAGTCTTATGCCAGGGAAGTAAATACACATTGAGACACCGAGAGTATATACAATGATAATAGAAAGGGTGAGAAGAGAAAGGCGATTATTTTTTAAATGAAATGAGAAAGATAATTAAAAGTCTTAATAGGATAACGATTAAAGTCAAAATAACTATTCAAACAGTTTCATTCATTTCTATGTACAATTATCATTACTATCAATTGGACCGTTTATTTTGAAAGTGGTGCAAGTCTATTTAAAAAAAAATAATAAAATATCACGTAATTTATGCTTAATTTAGTGTAAACTTTTTATTTATAACTTGTAAGTATTTAATTTCTTATAAAATGCCAATTCTCTTTTGTCCAATTTAAAATTAGCCGATAAAAGAAATTGCGTAACTATTGATTATGAAAATGGTGTAAGTCCAATTTCCATAAAAAAAAAAGAAAAAAAAATTTTCTGTATAGAACACAGGATTATTATGATATTATAAAACAATATAGACAACATAATAAATTCATTTTACATGAAATGAAATGGGAGAATCTCTCTCGTTTCAACAAAAAACTTACTAAACGTAATTAAAAAACAGATAACCAGAAACACTAATAAAGTAAAGATAAATTGGTTGCCAATATGTAGGATGAGGTTTTGCAAAAGTGCAAAATATACTATTTTTTATATAAAATGTCGGTGAAGGATTCAGAAATGAAAACTTTAAATTTATCACCTACATATCCGAGAAGACCGTTAACATTTGAAAAAATCACACTGATGTCTTTGCATAACGATGCCAGGCCTATTACTTACGAAAAATATAATAATATGGAGCAGTTATTATCTTATATACCTCCTATGCATCATAAATATTTCAAAGCACTGTCTCATGAAGAGCATAAATAAATACTAATAATATCTTATGTTAAATTGAACAATATAATTAACGTTTAAAATAAAAAGTACTACTTCTATTTTATTCCTTGTATTCTTATTTCTAAACAAAATTTGATTAATATGAAATATATTTTAAGTAATATTTGATTTTTCAAAATTGAAATTAAACGATTTTAACAATTGACTAATTTTGAAAGTGATTTCAATCCATTTGCAGTCCACAAGTATACATTATTTTAGTTAAATTAGCTTAAGAGAAATTGTATGATATAATAAAATTACATATTGATAAATTAATAGAAACATTGCCAGACTTGACATAATTAATGAATATTTTTGAATTGACCAATATGCAAACGTTTAATTTTTTTGAAACAACAGAAAATGGACTTGCACGACTTTCAAAATAAACGATCCAATAATTGTTTATTTCTGATTAATTATTATTTATAATTGTTTGCCTAATATCAATGGAAAATGTGATATTGTAATAATTACCGAATGAAATGTATTATAGTAATTTAGTAAAAGAGAAAGAAGAAAAACTCGTGCCAATCGTCGAGGTCTCTTTTCACCAAGCTGCATAACATATAAATATTATACATAGTGAAGGAGCAACAACCCTTTCCTCTTCCTGTCTCTCTCTTTCCTTCTATATAGGAAAGGAGTCCGCAAACGGGGTCGCTAATTTTCTCCAACGTAATATTTAATGTAGCTACCCTGTAGTAGAAGTTGTAACTTGCCGCTAGCTTCATTTCCATCGTAGGGAGGACGCGCAACGTGCCGAGAAACGTGGGTGGAAAATTATCGTGGCGCCGCGTCGTTCCAACATCGAAACGCACCAGTAAAGCTTCTCTTTACCGTTCCGCTAACTTTTCATCCTGATGTTGGAAATAGGGGAAAAATTTGTCCACAGATAGCAGACCAATGTCATTTGCAATTAGCAATTACCGGAATAATAATTTGTTCTCTACTCAACAAGATTAATATGTTTTTTTTTGTTTCCATTCCTATTGCAAACAAACAAAGTCATAAACTAGGATCGGATGACTCACGCTTCTAAATTAGATCAGAAGGATTACTTTATTCAATCTTCTTTCCTTGCTGCACAAAGATTTACATTTCTTTACCTTTTTATTATTAAAACCCAAAATGTTGTAATTTTAATCGAAAGGGTTTCACTTCCATCGAGTATAATATTTTGTTGATGCTTTTTGTTGTTTTCTATTTGACGATACACTCGTTGGCGACACTCGACGCGCCATTCCGTGGTAAAACGTTCCTACCGATAGGGTGCGATTTACGAGTAACGACCCCTTCGTAGTAAAGCCCTGTATCATCGTATAACCACCCTTGCCCTTTTCCTCTTTCCACGATCCTGCTTCATCGTTCCCCATGTTGTTATAGCGACCGTTAAACTAGCTGCTAGACAATGACAAAGCTTTATAATTCGGATAGTTGTTAGAGTGGCAGATATCGAAAGGGATCTTTTGACGTTTCCAGATTTTACACAATGTTTTTTTTCTTTCCTCTACCTTTCAATCAAATTTATTCGCGAATATAAAATGTTTGTCGCCCAGACTTAAATAGATCGTAAAAAGATTTTAACAACCCTTTCGCGTTTATTTTTTTCTACTCTTTTCACTTTCTAACGCTAGAGAGAAGCTAGTAAAAAAAAAAAAAAAGAAAAGGCAAATAATAAAAATGAACAAAAATAAAAAGTCCTTGGGAGAAACCCCGAACGTTCCTCTTCGTTCTCATATTTCATTATCACGCCAGTCCTAGTTGCAACGTAAAATTTCATAAAACCCCAAAAAACTTTGGCGACGACCTTTTAATTCGGTCGGTGTGCTCGTCGCCTTGGCAAGCACTGACGCAACACACAATGTACATATAAAATATACGTATACATATATACACATATTATACATATATGCTTCTATGTATTTTCAGTACGCATACAGTAAATACACGTGTGTCTCTAATTATAAGTATTACTGTAAATTTTACGATACATGCGTTAAAATTCAAACGAGTTATATCCCGAGTAATTACACCTCGTCGATATTTCATTCGTAGGATGAAAGATAAAAACAAAAGTAAAAGTTTTCCAACAAATAGTAGCCTTGAATAATAAACATGAATTTTGTATTACCCTTTTCTCTCTCTTGTGGTTGACAGAGCAAGTTGTTAGAGTAGGGATCAAGGCACTCGGAGAATGCAATGTATGCATTAATTGCGGACAACCGAGATAATCGTTCTGACGTCAGCACTCCTTCAACAAGCGTGTACGCTACTCTCAAGGACGTATAACCACCAAACGAATGGGTTAACTCTTCGAGGGCCTATTTGTCTCTT